TCATATACATCCACACAATGTGTCACACAGAGTTCCTAATAAATGCCATAGCGCATCCCATACTATATGTCACATAGAGTTGCTAGTAAATATCATAGCACACACTTCCACATAATGTGACACATAAAGTGGCTAGTAAAAACCATTTTCCATAGATTTTCCTTCTCCATCTAAAGAATTCTTCTGAGGGGCCTTCTTAAGTAAAAACACAATTGCTTTGGTGAGTCTGCAGGCCTGAGCAAATGTTGTTTGTTGGTGACAGGTGAAAAATAATTTATGTTCAAAGGAACAAAGTTTTAAGATGTTATCTCTTCAAAGAAATTCTCCTTTTTCTGTGGGCATAAAAATATTCAAAGTAACAGGTCAGTGCACATAAAGCTATGATCTCAGGAAGAGGTCTGCAGCTTTGATGGCCTGGGAGACATAGGGTTCTGTTAATTCTTCAACCATAAACCACAACATTTTCCTTTGTGATTGACATCTTCTATGTGTTGTTTTTCATCTTAAATCATATTCTCTTGTACTATGGTATCTTCTCTACATTGTGCTGCCAGGTTGTAAGACCAGATTTTATAGCTACAGGGATAGTAAGTTCAGAATGATTATGATAGAGCCATAAGTTTTACCTTGCCTAAGAGGGGCATTCCTACTTCTAGAAACTACACGTACTGTGAAATTCTTCTATGTTTCAGAAGCTCAATGACACTTATAAAAACTATAAGTCTGTAGTCCTTTGGCTTGTATTTGCACACATATGATGAAAAGTCTGTTTCACCTAGTTTCTTTAAAGCATTTTCTAGACCACTGGATTTCTAAATATCCATTGGCCCTTGATCTGCTGGAAATGTGTGGCTATAGCATGCCTGCCATAGTCCAGGTCAAGGTAGCTATATAAATTGGAAAGTCTGTAACCAACTTTATCTTTATTGTAGGTTTTCACAGGAGACAGAATCAGAGGCCGTGACTGCAACCAGGCATTTGGAGGAAAGAGTAATAACTGAGGTGGATGACAAAAGAAAATGTCCTTTAGGTAGTTGTAGCTAACAGTTACTATCACCTTAGGATACTGGCTATATAAAATTCAACCAAACATTATTAATATTTTGAGGTCCTTTCAGAATGTGCAAAAGAGAAAATTTATACTGTGTTATTTTTGTAGTATTCCTATCATCTACTTGGTTTCCTGTAGTAAGTATCAGTTTAAAGAAAGTGAAACAAAGTAAGTGCATAAGAGGTAATGCAAAGAGAGAGTTAGAAAAATCTTATCTTAGATATCTCAATAAGGGATTCCTTGAGGTATGACAGCTTCATGTGGGAATGAAGGAATGTTGAGTTTTTTGGACTGAATCAAGAGATTAAAAACATAGTTTGGACCTACATAGAATCGTTAGCTTTTTGTTTGTCTGTTTTAATCTCTCCATAGAGTGAATTCTCACAACTATCATCTAAATTCACAAGGACCCAGCAGCTATGGGTGACTAGATGTCACCATATTAAATAGACAGCTCTACATGATGGTCTAACTCAGTTTATGCCTATACTTTATTCATTAAAATTACTGTTAAGATGAAGGCTTTATAGGCTTCTTTTTTTTTTCGAGACAGGGTTTCTCTGTGGCTTTGGAGGCTGTCCTGGAACTCGCTCTGTAGACCAGGCTGGCCTCGAACTCACAGAGATCCACCTACCTCTGCCTCCCGAATGCTGGGATTAAAGGCGTGCGCCACCAACGCCCGGCTTCTATAGGCTTCTTATAAAGGGACTGAAGCAAAAACAGCAGTGATAACTGGAACCATACTATGAAAAGTTTTACTTATTTGTGCATATCTCTTGAGCTCCATTTAAACCTAAGCCGCATTCTAGGACCAGCAAAGTAACTTTGAGCTCAAAGTTACAGAAAACATATTCAACAAAATCATAGAAGAAAATTCCCTAACCTTAAGAAGGATATGCCTATGAAAATACAAGAAACTTACAGAACACCAAATAGGCTGGACCAGCAAAAAAAAGTCACCTAGCCATATAATAATCAAAACATCAAACCTACAGAATAAAAAGAAAATATTAAGAGCAGCTAAAGAAAAAGGCCAAGTAACATATAAAGGCAGACCTATCCTGATTACACCCACAATAACACCACTACCAATAAATCAAGCACAGACAAGAATCATCAATCAATAGTAATTAACATCCCTCAACGTCAATGGTCTCAACTTGCCTATGAAAAGACACAGACTAGCAGAATAGATACGAAGACAGAACCCATCCTTCTGCTATATACAAGAAGCACATCTCAACGTGAAAGACAGACTATACCTCAGAGCAAAGTGTTGGGAAATGATTTTCCCAATCAAACAGACCCAAGAAATAAGCTGGTGTAGCAATCCTAATAGCTAACAATTAGGCTTCAAATTAAAATCAATCAAAAGAGATGAAGAAGGACATTTCATATTCCTCAAAGCAAAAGTCCGTTAAGATGAAGTCCCAATTTTGGACATCTATGCCCCAAATACAAAGGCAAACACATTCATGAAAGAAACATTACTAAAGCTCAAATCACACATAAAATCTCACACACTAGTAGTAAGAGACTTCAACAGTCCACTCTCACTATTAGACAGAACCTCCAGACAGAAACTCAACAAAGAAACAAAAGAATTAATAGAAGTTATGACCCAACTGGGTTTAACAGACATCTATAGAACATTCCACCCAAACACAAAGGGATATACCTTCTTCTCAGCACCACATGGAACCTTCTCTAAAATCGACCACATAATAGGAAACATAGCAAACCTCCACAGATACAAAAAAATGGAATAACCCCCTGTATCTTATCAGACCACCATACATTAAAATTAGAATTCAACAATAACACAAATCACAGAAACCCTACAAACTCATGGAAATTGAACAAAGAAATCAAGAAGCAAGTCTCCAAAACACTAAAGGATCCAATTAAAAAGTGGGGTATATAACTAAATAGAGAATTATCATTAGGGGAATCTAAAATGGCTGAAAGACACTTAAGAAAGTGCTCAACATCCTTAGCTATCAGAGAAATGTAAATTAAAACAACTGTGAGATACCATCCTGTCAGAATGGCTAAAGTCAAAAACACTGAAGACAATTTATGCTTGAGAGGATGTGGAGAGCAGGGATCACTCCTCCACTGCTGGTAGGAGTGCCAACTGGTATACCCACTTTGGAAATCAGTATGGAATGGGAATCAATCTACCACAAGACCCATCAATTCCATTCTTAGGCATATATCCAAAAGTTGCAAAATGATACAACAAGTATATCTGTTCCACTATGTTCATAGCAGCACTATTTGTAATAGACAGAACCTGGAAGTAACCTAGATGCCCCTTAACTGAAGAGTCGATAGAGAAAATTTGGTACATTTACACAATGGTGTACTTCTCAGTGGAAAAAAAACAACGGAATCTTGAAATTTGCAGGCAAATGGGTGGTACTAGAAGAAACCATACTGAGTGAGGTAACCCAGTCACAAAAATACAAACATGGTATGTACTCACTCATATATGGATTTTAGACATGGATCAGGACAGTTCTAGTCTGCAATTCCTCTGACAGAGAGTCTGGGAAACAGGAATAACCTAAGAGAGATATGCATGGTACTCCAGAGAAGAGGAATGAGGCAAGATCTCCTGAACAGATTGGAAACACGGTGGGAGGTGTGTGTGTGTGGGAAGAGTGGGAGCTGGGAAGAAGAGAGGGGGAGAAGAGGAGGAAAGAGTAGGTCATGGGGGAACAAGAAGGTTGAGTGGGGGATAAAATAGGGGGAGAAGAAGATGAGAAATATTATAATAGAGGGAGTCATAGGTTTGAAGAGAGATGTGGCACCAGTGAGACCTCTAGTGATCTAAAAGGATGACACCAACTGGCAAGCTAAGCAATAGTGGAGAGACTACCTTAAATGCCCATTTCCGATAATGAACTTGATGTCTACCTTATATGCCATCCTAGAACCTTCCTCCAGTGACTGATAGAAGCAGAGGCAAACACCCACAATTAAACACTGAATTAAACCCATGGAACCCAGTGACAGACAGAAAGCATTGATGAACAAATTGGCAAAGAATGAATGGGCTGGTGAAACCAGCAGAGACAGCTGATCTGAACAAGGGGGGAGCTCTTGGACCCCAGACCGACAGCTGGGAAGCCAGCATGGGACTGATGCAGACCCCTTGAGTGTGAGAGTCAGTGAGGAGGCCTGGGAAACCTATGGGGCCCTGGGGGGTAGATCAGTGTTTATCACTGGCATACAAATGGACTTTGTGTGTCCATAACACAAAGAGGTATGATCTCTCATCCTGAACTCTTAGGGGAGTGCCTGGACCCTGACCCGAGGGAAATGACAGACTCTGGATATCCCCTATACGGAAGGAAGTGGGGATAGGGTGGGAGGCTGGTGGGGATGGTGGAGGGGTGAAGGAGGATGGGAGGGAGAGGGAACTGGGATTGACATGTGAAGCAGGCTATTTAAAATTAAAGCAATAAAAAAGAAATCAATAAAAATTTTAAAAAAGAAACGTTTATAACAATGAAGAGAATTTCACATGAAATAAATCACACAATACAAAACAGCAATCAAGTAATAAGAAATGGGAGCCCACAACTATATTATAGTTCTTAATTGTGCTGTCAATTAAGACAGTTTATCTTAATTAACTTAATAGTGAGATACCCAGGCTGTTTATTAGAGTTTTTATTTAGTTTTATGAGTGTTTAAAACACAGAAAGAACAGATTTTTCAGGGGCTGGGGATACCAGAGTAGCTGTATCTTTTCTCATCCAGGAAGGAAGATGGCCTCTGTGCTGTCAAGTCTGATTCTAGAGACCGTTCCCAACATCTTCCAGGTCATCTCTGTGTGCACAGAGGACTAAGTCCTGTGACCAAAACACTTGTTTATGAGGAGTCACAGATTATTACAGTAAACACATGAGCATCAGCACACTCTATTTTACCTTTATCATTTGTTGGAAAGTGAATCAGGGAATGGAAAGTCTCTTCTCACAGACACAGTGGTAGAGTTGATCACATCCAGCATCATCTATTCTTGTTTTAGACAGAAATGCACATCTTCTAGAGTTAGGATTGAAATTCATTATGTTCAAGTCACTAAAGAATAAAAACAATGAGCAATTGTTTAGTTTTGAATGTTCACTGGAATGTCATGATTTTGAAAACTCTATTGGCCAAAGTATATAGAATATGGAAATATTAGTCATAAGTTCATCACTAAAATGTTTTATTTTCTATAACCTCATTAAAAAGAAATCATCTCTTGGTCATACGAAAATCCCCATCTTATTACACAGTTGCAATTTTTGGTCAGCAGGTAAAATTCATTTTCAGTATTTCCATGCAATTATTTTATGTTATGCCTGCTTTGCCACTTATATATTGTCAATAAACATGCCAGGTAGAAGCAAATGTGTATTGCACCCAGAACAAGGTCTCATATGCTGGTGTTTTAAGGAATGAGGGAGGATTTGGAATACAGTCATAGATGAGAGACTATACCTAATGTTTTGGCCTATTTTTCCTTTCTTCCTCACCCACCTCATAGTTAATGGGTCTGTACTGAAATATGGTCATATACTGAATTTTCTATATATAATACAACTCTGATTTATGCAGGATGGTATAGTAGAAGCCATAACTGCCCATCTATAAAAAAGAAAAAAACCAAAATGTTGCAAAATAAAAATAATGTACTTAAAAATTATAAGGAAGAGCAAATTAGTATATAAGCTAAAACAGAAGGACTATGAGTACCAGTTCAACTTTGACTATGAAGCAAAATCCAAAGTCGATCAGTGATAATGAATTAATAAATAAGATCATCCTGTACAAACTGACAGAATGAGATACCTACTCAAGCTGAGGTGTTCGCAGGAGTTAGAAAAAATACTCAAAACGTCAGGGAAGAATCATAGCCTGTTTCCCCCATAATAGTTAGAGAAAGCTGACTGAAGAATACACTCAAAGCGAAGATCCTCAATAATAAGTCGATCCAGGCATAGTGGGGAGCAATCATGGTCCTAGTATTTGGGAGGTGGGCGTAGGAGTATCCCAGGTCAAGACACAGGGAATTTGGGGGGGCACTCCAATATACATAGAGTATGAGGCTAGTCTGGGCTAATGAGTCACCGACAAAGAAAATGAAAGTGAGAATGAAAGCCATTCATACTGTGAGACTCCAAAGCGATTGGTCTTTAGCAAACTAAATCACTTTCTTTGAATCTTGGGAGAAATGGAATATTCAAATTTACCATAGGAATTTAAAAGAATGGAAAAATAAATGAAAACAAGTGGCTTGCGGGATACAGAAAGAACATATTAGATACATTAGGAATAGAATGTACATTCGTCAGCCATGGGACAGGCTCATGGGTGTAGTCAAGAAACCATGTGTGTATATTGAACATGTGCAAAAAGAAGAAATGACCCAGAAGATGCCAACTGTTTACAAAAGTTACTTACTAAAAAATAAAGTGTATGCTTACACAGTGACTTGTACATGAATTGGTATGATAGCTTTCATAATTGTCAATAGCTCCAAATGGTCAAAACTTAGAAACACACCATAGGTTCACATATGGAGAAAATATCATAGTATATTTGTGTAATTAAAAAAGGTGCTTTGTAACAACAAGATTGAACCACTGATCCATGGGAAAAGCTTGAGTTAGCTAAATTAACAATAATGAGAAAAAGGAGCCAATCACAATCTGTACATAGCATAGGACTCTCTGGATGTGGCCATACTAACTGATAGTACAAGAGCACATGTCAGCTGGGCGTTGGTGGCACACGCCTTTAATCCCAGCACTCGGGAGGCAGAGGCAGGCGGATCTCTGTGAGTTCGAGACCAGCCTGGTCTACAGAGCTAGTTCCAGGACAGTCTCCAAAGCCACAGAGAAACCCTGTCTCGAAAAACCAAAAAAAAAAAAAACAAAAAAACAAAAAAACAAAAAACAAAAGAGAGCTCGTGTCTACTTGGCTAGGGCCAGGTGGCAGGCAAGACGTAGAAAAGAACTTTGGGAGGTAATGAAATTGCCCTGTTTTGTTTTAATGGTTTCTATTGCTGTGATGAAACAGCATGAAAGGTAACTTGAGGAGGAGTTTATTTTATTTAAACTTTCATATCACAGTCCATCATCAAAGGAAGTCAGAGGAGCATCAAACTGGGCAGGAGCTTAGTGGCACAATCTGATTAATGCCAGTGACCATGTCAGAGGAGTGGTAGATGACATTTGACTTCAGGAGACCGGCCCACCATGAAACAAGATCCTGATGGGTAAATCTTGGACAGGAAAGACTGCGAGAATGCAAACCCTAGAACATTTTTTGCTTCTTCTGTGCCTTCACATGTTTGCTTGTTTAGTTGAAAATTAACTTAGGTAAATGTAGGATAAAATGTTATCACTGCCTCTGATAAAGCAGAGGCTGCAGAGGATAAAAAATAAAAAAGAAGGGTCATACAACTAGAACACATGAATTTCTATTGAGGATTCATATATACTGTGGCTTAGGTTAATGATTAAGAAAAACAATTGAGTCCCAGTACCCCAGTTAGCTTAAAATCTTTAATATTAATGTAGAGAGACTGTTAACAAATTTCAGTGTTCATCGTAGCTGAAACAAAGTCTTAAAATGACCTCACTTTATATTAAGATGTTTTGATAATAGTTTTGCAATGAAAAACCCTAGAAAACAATCTAAAGTTCACAAAGACACATAGCTAAGGAATAGATTCATTTGGTTAGGGAATCAAAAAACCAAGTGGCCCAATTATTACTACCTGACATACTTTTCTTGCTAGGATTGATTGTTGATCAAAGACAATGATTACTTTCTTGTACACATTTCTGCCCCTAAACTTCTGATACAAAAAGAAAAAAAGTACTATTGATGGGTGGATTTGTAATCTAAAGATTAAAAGTAGAGCTAACTGATTGCTTTTCACATGTAAAAGTTTAGGTTTGTGACTCTTTTAAGATTCCTTACAAGATTACCTTTCAAGAAAAGTCATAAAGTGGTTGACTCTTTCTTTGTAACCACAATACGCAGCCTGACAGCAAAAGAGCTGGCTGAGAAAAATCCCTTGCTTGCTCATACCCTGTCAACTTATGTCAAGTTTCTTAGATATAAACGTATATGACTTTATTTTAATCATGTAGGAGACATGAAAAACATGTTTTTACCTGTGTTCATTATAATAATTTACTTGAAACGCAGATTATAACCACATTATAATTTCTATATTGTCTGAAAGATTTTGTTTAATTATGTAAGCTGTAGAGGAAAAATGCAGTCAGAGAATAGAGAATAGAGAATAGAAAATAAGGAATACAGAAGTAGGAAACCATCAAGAGAATGTGTGAGTGTCTTTCTCCTTGCACCCTTAGATTAAAATGGTGTAGTCAGTCAGTCTGTGGATTTCCTTTGAGCCCTGCCCTGCTGGAGGCTGGCTCCTCATTCAGGGGTAGATGCATATGTCACAAAGGAGAGCCACTTACTGGCTTGCTTCACCAAATTTTCTCAGCCTACATTCTTACAGCATGCAAGACTAACAGTCCAGGGGTGATGCTACCTTCAGTATGCCATGGCCTCCCACATCAGTCACTAATCTGGCACTAGTGAGATCTTCACAGATCTACAAGAATGACACCAACTGGCATTAAGGCTACCTTAAATGCCCTCCCATGATAATGAGAATGATGACTACCTTATATGCCATCCTAGAACTCTCATCCAGTGACTAATATGAACATGAATTTATTAGAACATATTTAATCTACATTCCTTGAGTTTAATCATTTCAGTATGATGTGTAAAAGAAATTGCTTGTCCCTAGAAAATATTTTGCTTCATATAAATGCATTCTAAGATGACAAATTCTACTACATGCAACAAGTAAACAGTAAGAAACCAGCTAACAAACAAACAAAAACCGGCATCTGCATTTTAGTTCTTAATTGTGCTGTCAAAGCCAAGGATATTAAAATGATTTCTCCTAGTAAGGATGAAATACATGCACTATTTATTAGGGATTTTTTAAATTAAGCTCTACACGTCATTTGGGAAAAAAAGAGAGTGGTTTCTCACAGCCTTTAACTGACGGCATCCATTATACACACACAAGCTTCTGTGTGTACAAGAAAGAAAAATGGCTTCTGCTCTGTTAAGTTAGACTTCAGAAGAATATTTCTTCCCTTTCCAGCTCATCACCCTATTTACACAGCAGAGACGTGTGGCTAAAACATTTCGCTGTTAAGTGGTCATAATCGTCAGAGGAAACCGACAAAGATGACCACATTCCGTTTTTACCTTTCCTATAAACTGCACACCATACCACAGAATTTTTCCATTTTGTTTTCAAAGATACAGGAGTGAGTTCTAACACAGTCATCGTTATCTATACCTGTTGAGCTGAAACTTTCAGTGCCTCCTGTCTTACATAGTGATCTTATTACTGTCAAGTCACTATAAGATGAAAACAATAATGGGCAGTTACTTAAATTCAAAGTTTATGTTGATTCAGTTCAGGGTTTTTAAAACAAGACTTATTTATGAAAATGTACAGAATATGGAATTAGATATAAGTATATTGATAAAAAGTTTCAATTTTCTCTAAACTCATAAAAAATGGTCTTGGGCCAGTGGCATGGCTCAGTGGATAGAAGCCATTGGCACCAGACAAGGCAGCCCAGAGTTCACGCCTCAGATCCCACACAACAGAGAAGTGACTCTTTCAATACTCCTCTAACTATACCTGTGCTGTGACCTGTATGCCACAGTACTTGTGAATGTATACACAAAAAATAAATAAATGGAATAAAAGATAAAAATGGTCTTTTCACCACAACTTAAATTCTTATGTACTTCATATTGTTAATTTTTTGTGAACAAGTTAAATTAATTTTCAGTATTTCCATGGAACAATTTTATAACAAGATTTCTTTCCTCTGATACCTTTTGCAATAATGACAATTGTAAAAGAAGTAATAATGCATGCAGCATACAGGAAAAGGCCTTGCATGCCTGTTTAGGAAGAAAAGTGACATTTGTAGTAACTGCTGTTGTGTTTTTTTTCATCTTTCTCCCTCCTCAGAACTATTCAGACTTCACTGCAACACCATGATGGACTGACTTCCCTATAATGCAGCACACAGCTGCAATCTCTGATGAATGATGAATACTAAATCCACAGCTACCTTCCACTGGAAAAAATAATTCAAAATTTTAAATAAAAAATAAAACACAGACAGGCAGTGGTGGCACACAACTTTGATCCCAGCACTTGGGAAGCAGAACTCTGTGAGTTCAAGGCCAGACTGATATACAGCATAAGTTCCAGAGCAGCCAGGGAGAAACCCTGTATTTAAAAGGCAAAATAACTATAATAATGATAATAAAATAAAGTAATACTAAAGAAACACAAAGAAAGGTGATATATGACTATAACCTAGCATTGGGGAAGCTGTTTTAAGAGGATTACAAATCCGGTCAGACTGGACTATGGAGCAAGACCCTGATCAAGTATTAACTAATAGTTAAAACTTTCTTCGATACATTAATGGACAGTCAGGAAGCAGACTTCCATGTAGACCGGGGCTTCAGAACAGTTGAGACTCCCAGAGCATCAGTAAACCATGACAGCCAGTCTTTCTAATAGGTTATGCAAAATAAATAGTGAATCTATGGAAAATGATATTAAAACACTGAATAATGAATCCAGTAGTATAATGAGATCATGGCCAGTTAGGGAAATACAGTGACTGTTAATCATGCTAGCCTAATGAGAACTTAATCAAAGACTACCAGACAGAGAATGAAATCCACCAAACTCCATGGGAATGAAATAGCAAAGAGATGACACATTAACAAAACATCACCTCGCTTTAACTTTGGATTTAAGCTATGTGGAAATAGAGGGTTTAGATTTATAACAGGAAAACATAGGGAAGAAAATTAAGATAAGTGGCCAGTGGATCATATAGAGACCAAGTAACATACATTGAGAATGAGTACACACATTGTTCAGCCACGGGGTATGATTATGAGTACAGTAAATAAAGCAGGTATGCTGAACATGAACAAAGAGAAAAAACTGTAGCAAACACTAACTATTCAAAAGATACACTTGAAACTCTTATTCTGTGTCATAAGCTCTTAACATCACCCACATGGTGATGCCCATCTGGACCTCTATACAAGAAACACAAGCTCACAGCTGTCCACGAGGTTCATCAGAAGCTGACATTGTAAGTAAGTGTCCAAGCTACTATGTCTTCCCACTGGAGAGAATATTTGTGATGGTCACAGAAACCTGACCACTGGGATTCTTTACTGAAGCCTCATGTTTATCCCTAGTAATCCCAGCATCATCAGGGATCAGCTCTGTACTCACAGTCTACAAAGACCACTTAACCTGGAGACTGCATCCTTTCAGCCACTGGAACCTCACTCTAAATGTCACCACCTGCCCATTTCACTCTGTATGGTGCTGTAGAGATACCAGCAAATTCATTAGTCTTGTTGCCTTTCACAGTGGCAAACACCAGCAACTCTGGTGCTCTGGAGGTAGATGCAAAGGAACAGAGCTAGCCTGTATGAAATGGTACTTCATATAGAAAAAACAAAATCAACAACAATGGTGCTAATCTGTATGTTTTGAACATATTAGTACATCTTATAAAGCCTACTGTCCACTGGCCACTTCTGTGATAGTATGACTGCCTCTGTGACAGTGTGGCCACCTCTGTGACAGCATGCTTGAGAGTGTCCTTGGAGAAGAGAAAGGAAGTTATTTTCCTGCATATTTGGAACCTAGTTGTCCACACTGTCAGGTTCATGTACATTTAAATAGAGGTGAGGTAGAGCTGCCATGTTCAAGGGCACTGAATGAAAGACTCCTGAGAAAGTTACCACTACTGATGCCTCAGAGAGTTTCTGCAGCAGTTGAAGAAGAAATTCACTGAAAACTACAAAGAAAATGCCAGCATGAACAAAATCCTGCAGACAACAAGATGGCCACCTAACACATGTAAAATAAGTATGGTTGATATCTTTAAAGGGATAAAAGAGTATAATCACATCTACTTGTAGTCTCAGCACTTGAGAAGCACTTAAGAGATGAAGATGCAAGGATTAGGAGTTCAAGATGAGTCTGGGAAACATAAACTCCTATCTCAAAACAACAAAACAATAAGAATTAAATTATGTTCAAATATAAAATAACTTAAAATGTAACTAGGGCAAAAACAATTATTAGGGGATTTTAAAAATTATAATTCCAAAAATCAATAATCATTAAAAATGACAAATATGTGATATGAAGGGAGTTGGGGGGACAAAATGTGAATGAGTACTGGAAAAATGGACAGAAGAGAATAAATGATGGATCAATCAAAACTAATGATACATAAAAGGACTTATGGATACCCACTAGTTATTAAACTCAAGAGTTTACCAACACAAAATAGGCTCCATTTTCATTGTTTGATTTGGGAACTTTGTTTGCTTGTTTTGGTCAATGTTTTGTCTTATTGGTTGTTTTTTTATAGTTTGATTTTATTATCTTTTTATTTTTGATTTTGGGAGAGAGAGAGAGGGAGAGGGAGAGGGAGAGGGAGAGGGAGAGAGAGAGAGAGAGAAACATAAGGAGGAAAACCTCATCAAAATATACTCTATGGAAACATGTAATTTTAAAACATCAAAATAAAAATTTTAAAATGAGTTAGATCCATAGAAAATAGGAGTTATTAAATGAAAATCAAAATGCAAGGCAAGGGATACCTCCAAAGGAATTAATGGTCAGGGAGACTGCAGAGGTCTCCAAACAGCACAGGCTTTTGCCATGCACTTGGTTTTTCCACCATAACTACATGGTAACATCCTGTTGGTGAGGATACCACACAGTGTCAGGACACAGAAAAATCAATCTAAAACCAGTCATGAATATATTCCCGTGGGTTAGCTTTCAATGTGTCAAAAGTTCCTTTGTACACTGCCAGGGAATTGTCTTAGTTTTTTTTTAATTAATCTTTTTTTGAGGGGGGGTTCCACAATACATTTACTTATTTTTTTAATTTTAGAAGCACTCTTTTTAAAAACAATTTAGTTTAAATTAGAAACAAGCTTGCTTCACATGTCAATCCCAGATCCCTCTCCCTCCCCTCCTCCCCTGCCCCCCACCAGTCACCCCGACCCCCCCCCCCCCCCAAACCCCACTCCATTCCCCAGGGCAGGTGAGACCCTCCATAGGGCATCTCCAGAGTTTAGAAGCACTCTTAATTGAATATCAGTTCCCCATTCCCTTGCCCTCCTATGCTCCCATGCTCCCCACCAACCTCCAACCCATCCCCCCACCAACTCCCCAGAGATAGTGAGGTCCTCCAGTTTGGGTTTTAATTGCTGTGAAAAGACACCATGAGCTTGGCAACTCTTATAAGGAAAACATTTAACTGGGGTGGTTTATAGTTCAGTCCATTATCAACATGGTGGGAAGTATGGCAGCATTCAGGCAGACTTGGTGCTGTCTACATCTTGATATGCAAGCTGCAGGAAGTTGACTGACACACTTGGCAGTATCCAGAGCACAGGAAACCTTAAAGCCAGTCCTCATGACATACTTCCTCCAACAAGGTCACCATTGCCTAATAGTGCCACTTCCTATGAAATTATGGGGGCCAATTACATTCAAAATACCACAGGGTTAAAATATATAAATGGTCTTACCTAGTATTAGGTGCTGAATGCCATGATACTGACTTGCTAGGCAAGATGTGCCCACTTAAACTATTATTTTTGTTATTGGAGTTGAAGGATGTCATGTTTGATTTTGTAATCCAAACCAAAAGCCCATGATTGTGGAAGTCATGGTCCGTTGATGGGTGAAGTTCTGTGTATATGTTAATAAAGCACTGTTGGCCAATTGGGAACAAGATAGGTGGGACTAGGAGTCTAGGAGGATTCTGGGAAATGTAGTGAACTGGCTGTTGCCATGTGACTCCTGGGAGGAACGGATGTGATAGGAGTGCATCCGAGCAAAGATAAGTTCTTATAAAATATATATGAGTAATTATGGATTAATAGTCAAGTCAGACTTAGCAGATAAGAAATCAAGCAAATGGCCAACAGCTTCCTAATTAATATAGTGTCTTGTGTGTTACTTGGGGGCTCAGACAGCTCTGCAGGGCCCAGGCAGTTGTCAGGGAAGACAACACATTATAGCCCCTCGTATGAAACCTGATGCTATCATTTTGCTAAGTGGTCATGTGGTCAAACTGCATTCTTAATATTTATGTTTATGGCCTGGATCTGGGCTGCTCTCAACCTCAATTCTATAAGCTTCTTTTTGTAGTGGCAGTGGTTAGTGGAGAGATGCAGAAATGGTCAAGGTGCTTAGGAGAAGAGAGTATGTGCTCAGCCCCAGAGACACATATCCATAAAACCCTTTCCTCAAACACTACCACCAAGACTCAGGAAAGAGGAGGGAATCAGAGGCAGGAAAAAAAAGCAAGAACTAGAGAAGGGAGAAAGCACCATGAAAAACAATCTGTGGCTATCCAATTATAAATTCACATAAAACTTGGAGGTTATAACAATATGACACCTTGAAATGGAAGGTAGATGTACATATGTATGCATATGTGAGAAGGTTCTATATGTATAACAGGCAATTTTATAATCTAACTAGAGAAACAAGTGAAGTGAATATTTCAGATATTCACAGTCATAGTATCTATCAGGATAATCCAGCCACTTCACATCATCTTAAACTGTTGGTTTGCTTGTGCCCTCTGCATCTTAGGACATACAATCCTGAGCTGTGTCAGCATTACACACTAGCAGTCAGCTTCTAGACCATTCCTCTTCCCTCTCTAACACTTGCTCAAACACTGCCTTATGCATCTTGTCCTTACCTGTGAGTTCCACTGAAACTGAGGAGAGCCATGTGAAATGAGATTTTTTTTAAAGCCTCTGCACACCATTCTCCCAACACCTGCACCAATGTTAGGCGTGGGGGTTCAGGAAACTCACAGTTTAGATAGGCTATCGTCAATCCATTGCCATTTTCTTCTTGTATCATATGATAATCCAATCCAGTGACTCTTTGGATTAATTTGGAGCTGAAGGAATTTCTGCAAGGGAAATGACACATATGATAAAATTTCTATTTGTTTGGCGAGAAAAGAATCAGCACAACAGTTCCCAGACATTCTTATGTCAGTTCTCTGCTGTCCTGTCTTCCAGTGTTTCAATCCCTCCAAGTTCATTTTAAAGTGATTTCCTACTAGTAGATCATTTATGTCTAAACCAATGTCAGTTACACAAGTTATTTAAAATGAAAACTTCTGATGTTTACAGATACCGAATTCATGGTATGATTTGTGACTGTGTTTCTCAGATAGTCTCACTGTGAGGTCAAGAGGGACCCTGAACTCACAATATTCCTGCTTGTGGCTCCTAAAAGCAAGCACATTGGATACATAGCTTGTTAAATAATTCTTGACTCTGGAAATTATTCAAATGTGCATTCCCAAACACTACAGAAAATGTGGGAAGTGTTCATATGGTAAGCAATGCCCAGTCTTCAAAGCAAATTCATTACGATGAAAATCCTGTGTAAAAAGCTGGGCAATAAGCTCCATGCTCCATCGAGGATGCTGTTCTGAAGTTCAGATCTGGATGTGAGAGAAACTGAGGAGGAAAGGTACAGATATTTGGAAAAATTAAGTCTCTTACATGTGACATCTAAGTGCATGATGTCTAATTCAATTACTGAATAAATTTCTAAATATGGGTTTAATTTAATTTTGCTTATTACATCAGACGACAATTTGCATAGTTATTTGACATTTAAAATTCTTTTATGTTGTAATTTGTATACATGTTTTAAATTGGTGTATAAATATTGTACCATGTTCTACGTGACAAAGGTTTCAACCGGATCCTGCAAGCATTTATCTAGCAAAATATAGTTTTCATATTAGAAGAAATTTTGTTAGTAATAATTTAAACATCTTAGCACATTTGTTTTCTTTTAATTACTCATTTCTAAAAAATAGACATCTTTTTAAAGAACATAAAAGTAGTATGAAGTAAATATTATGCACAGTGTCATTGAAAATAACCATAGAGTTAACTGGAAAAACCATTTAATTTTACAATTCTCACATAATCTCCAGAGGTCAGATACTTTCCCTATTGTCATCCAACTACTCATCTCAGGCAGTCCCAATTTTGGGTTCCAAAGAGCAAGTCCTAGACTGCAGCCTTTCTTTGTAGTTAGCACTCTATGGATATACATGATTGTTAGTCACAGGATGTACTGTACTACAGTTTTAAACTCCTTCAGGGAAAACATGCTTTTCTGAAGTACTCTCTTTTAGGACCCAATGAACGGGAGGAGATTGCAAAGACACAACTATCTCTTTATTAAGGAATCTCCTTGTAACAGACCATGTATCTTGACTCTAAACCACAAGCAGGAGAGGGCTTCCTGGGAGACTCTCATTGAACAAGTTTGATGACATTACCTGCAAACAATATACAACACTTGAAGATTTCACTTTCAATAAATGTGCCTGGGCTCAGTAACTCGCTATCCAAAGATCAGAGACAGAGCCTAAGAGAATACAATGACAAGTAAGAGTCTACAATACCAGTTCATCATCATCCTCTATCTTCAAAAGGGATAAGCTGCAGTCCTGGCAGGTCTGCTTGCATCCATTCCAGCTTTCCTTGTCCATAATGAAATAATAACATTTTATGCCACAGCAGAACCACTGTGCTTCAACATGTTTGCCTATAACAGAGAAGTAAACAGTTAAACGTCTTATATTCAGGTATACAGTATACAAGGCTGTATTTTGTGACTTAACTCAGATGAGGGTTCTTACACAGCCCACCCCTAAGAATCAGAGTATTTGAGATACCAGGGCTAATGAGCTGTGAGCAAACACGTGCTGCACAGAGGCAGTTACAAGCATCACGGAATTTTAGACCTGCAGCAATGCTCTGTGCCCCAAGTTTATCCACACATACAGTGCACATAAGGTTGTGCAGTAGTCTGTGTTAGATGCTCTTGCTAAGAGAAATAAGAGACACATGAGGAACCTTTGAAGGTGTTAGTCTGCTCTCCTGAATATGTTGATTCCTTCAATACTGTTTCCACATAGCCAAACATGTCAAGTTGAATACATTAAAATGTGGATATTTTTAAAGCAACAACAACTCATGTGATTATTTGGTTTAATGAGGTGCTGAGGAAGGCCTTGTTCTATTAACAGACTTTATCTCCAAACTTTGCTATTTGGTGAAGAGGTATCATTGTGTATCTCAGTCTGTCCTGGAATTTTCTGAGCTATACAGATTTTCCTCAAAGGTATAATCCTCCTGTCTTAACCTCCTAAGGACAGGATCTATAGCAATGTGCTGCTATTTAGAGATGATAAAGCTATTCTAAAATAATGGCACAAAATGTTTTTCATGGGTCTAGAATATTTAAACATTGACACTTTGTCTATTCCTATTACATGTGTTATAATGTAACAGTATCAAAGATATTATTATTCCTTACATAATGAAGAATGTCAACCCCATCATGGTGTAGTAAGATCATACGCAAAAGATCTTTGTAAATTCTACATACCTGAAAAAATTTAATACTGAATGATAAACTGTGTTACAGTTTATTTATTATTAATTAAAGTTAACCACTCATGATGCAAGGTTAGAAAGGTTCCTTGCAATAGTTATTTTTTCATCTTTCTTGCCTCATTCACTGTGTCACTGACAGAGTTACACAAGTGTGCACACCATGGTGAAGCTTCCATAGGTGCTGCAGGGAGCTTCACCATGGTCACAAACAGGTCAACTCTCTCATACCAAGGCAGAAGGAACACACACACACACACACACACACACACACACACTTATTTTTATGACTGCATTCATATAAATGCTGTACGTTCATTTAAGGCTGTTTAGTAAATTCACTCTTACTGGACACTTCTATGTTCTGTCAGCAATAAAGTTGTATATTCAGATTTACCCGCAGAGCAAAATAACCTTTGTTTTCAGTTCTGTTGACTTGTGATTCCATCATCTGCAAGCAGTAGCAGTACCAGAAGAGCCACTGAGGCCTAGAAACTCTAAGATTATCCTAACTCAAGCAGGGCTTTCTGGTGTTCCAGACCCCTACATGAAATAAGGAACCCCCCAAATCCACAAATCACCAGCATTGTAAGCTGCTGAATGAACTTCAAATCTTCTGGAGAAGAACTGATACAGAATAATGGATTCTTTATTCATGATCACCATCATACCTGAGGGCTGTTTGCAATCTAAAACAACTTTAGTTTCCCCATGGCATCTGTTCTGTTTTCTGTTGAGGGAGTCCAGGTACTTTTTGAGGGCCTCAAGTTCTGTAGACTTGTTTCTCAGCATTTCATCCTTTAAATAGCTGTCATTTTGCTTGATGTTGAATTCTTTTTGATGGTGATTATTTAGAGTTTTCTTCAATTCATGATTTTCTTGATCATACTGAAAAACTAAAATTAGTAACAGATATAACACTAAAAATGTTCATAAGGGGTAAACATTGAAATTTAAGATAACAGAGAAAGCTCATGTTTACAGCCAACACATATTACTTTAGCTTGTACTTTGGCATTTAGAAAGTAACACCTCAATTAACTCACTATAGGAATGGAAACATGAATTCTCTCTCTCAGGGTAACTTTAATGAAAAGTAAATGACACAGATGAATAAAAGTATAGTGGAGATATTCCTTTTTTAGAGTCCAAAAAATTTCAAACAAATAACTAAGTAAAGTATCCACTGAATACTTAACATAACATGGAAAGGTGAACTATGAAACTTTAAGAAATGCCACAATTCTCATTGGACTAGAAGGAAAGCAAAATATACATATATGTAGCCATGTCTTAGCAGAGCCTGGGAGTGATTTCTTCTAGAGATGTGAAGGAATCCAGTGGAGCATTAAAGTCTCTGCATAGATGAAATCTCTTCACTTAACAATGTCCTCAAAATACACAGAGGAAAGTGAAAAGAATACTCTCATTTCTTTTTGCACAGCTCTTTCTCACAGAATGTTTACATAAGATTTACAATCGCCTAAGTGCAGAAGGCAGACTGTCACCAATTCCTCAAAAGGAACAGTACCAAGAATGATATAGAACAAGGCAGTACCTAACAGCCTCAGTGTTAATATAATATAATGTGTGAGAACAGGACACTGTACTTTATCCATAAAAAAACGATTACAAAGTCCAGAATTATCTGACACATCCGCTGATTATAGGAAGACAATAGACAGTATGTGAACTGTATAACTGATGTCTAAAGCTATTACTTAATCAGAAAGGCAAAAAAGGACTCCAGTTACTCACTGTATATCACCAACACTGCAACAGCCACCAGCAGAATGCAAGAAAGGATTCCCAGAAATTTTGTAATGAAGTTGCAGGGGACTGAGCACTCTTAAATTTAAAAAAAAATCAATAAAATAATCACCATGAAAAGAGTACATTCCACTAGTAATTATAATTTTGCATAGCATTGAAATAACGGAATATTGGTTTCTAAGAGTTTTACAGAAATTCATTACACAAGATGACTCAACATGTGCTTTCAAAATTACAGATTTCTACGTACAATGGACACACTAAACAACTTCATGAAGTTTCATAGGATTTCAACATTTTTTTCTCTTTTGACCTTGTATTCTCAATCTTCCTGTCTCAGCCTATAAGTATCTAGATGACAGGAACATGCTTCCCACTCAGTTCTACAGGATCAAAGAACATCCTTCAGAAAGCAGTGGTGGCACAGGCACAGTCTAAGTAGAAGACTCCAAACTGGAGCATGTGGTCCACCAGGAGAGCCTAACTGAGCATGAGGAGGAAGGAAATAGTGGTGGATGCTTTTCAGGATTTAGGAGACCATGGCAGTTCTGGAGCTGACCTGTATATAGCCCCATCCTAAAGGGGCCTGAAGTCAATTCTCTCCTTCTTCCCATAAGTTATATTTTTCTCTAGACAATACTAAACAACTCTTTGTGGATCTGAAGTGTGTGGAATTTCAAAGCCATTCCTCTATTATCACTACATCAAAGAAGTTAAAGCTCTCAGCTGGAGATGGACTGTGATACTGTTAGGAGAGTAAGTTGAAAAAGAGGAGAGAAAAGTGAGATTTCTGGTTTTTTATTAATAATTGTAATTATTATTTGACATTTCTACAGATACACAATGTAGTTTAGTCATCCCAGCTCCTCTATCCTCTCTCACATTTCCCCCTATTCTTCCTCTGCAGAATCTTCCCAAGAAGAGACTTCGACTTTAGACAACTTTTCCTGCTTCATTGAGTTACATGTTGGAACAAATAAAACAATCTTCTGTTAGAGTGAAAGCATTGTTTCTAAAGCACAAGTTGCATTTTTTTAAGATTTCATTTCTCACTCCCCCACCAATCACAGCCCCAACATCCATTCAATAGGCATGGCTCTTATGGCCAGGCTGCTCCATTACCATCCCCAGATACATCATAGGGCCTCAGAGGCACAGGCCCCACCTGTACAGATGGAAGGAAGAGTGTAGTGGCTGCTCTTCGAGCTGGACAGCTGTACTCTATATGCCTTAGTCCATGGTGCTTCCACTCCCTTACCAATCCCAGTAGCTGATGAGTAGCCAAGTCTTCTGCTGCCAAGTGGTTCTACCACCATCTCCAGCTACATCAGAGGCCCTTGGAGGCACAGACCCACCTGCACCTATTGGAGCAAGAGTGGTATAACAGGCCCTGGGAAACAAAGCCCCCATTCGCACCAACTAGAGGAAGAGCCGCAACAGCCAGTCAGGCCACTCCACCTCCAGACCCAGCAGAATCAGAAGTCACCCAGAGGCACAAGCTCCACCTACATCAATGGAGGAAGAATCAATGCCTGTGTCCATAATTACCCCAAACACAGATGGGTAGAAGGCATTGTAAGAATACACTCAACAACTACCAGTACCATAGTCCCTTTCTCCACCTACAAGGCTAGATAGGCCTGGGCCTGTTTACAGACTGCCTTCTGGTGATCTGCGCACAACTAGCCCAGGACAGAGTAATGCACACTGCAGTCCCCATACCAGCAGGAGCCAGCCCAACCAGAGACTGCCAGAATTCAATTCCCATGCTCCACTCACGGGATAGGCAAGGGTCCATCCTACCCAGACATTGCCAAGGTCCTGATACTAGGATGGCCTCCATCCATGTAAGAGGAAGCCACCAGGGTATTGGACCTGCTCCCACCCATTGGAAAGGAACCATGATCACATACCAACCAGGAGAGGAAGAGAGGCCTTCTGTACCCATATGAAGAAATGATGGAAAGGAGACAATATAAAAACATACCAACCAACAGAAAAACAAACATGGCACTGTCAGAAACTAGAGAATCTATACCCGCACCAGGTGGTGGTGGCACATGACTTTAATCCCAGCACTTGGGAGGCAGAGGCCACTGTCTCTGTAAGTTCAAGGCCAGCCTGGTCTATCGAGCAAGTTCCACGACAGCCTCCAAAACAATACAGAGAAACCCTGTCTCAAACAAACAAACAAACAAACAAACAAAAAGAATCTACACCTGCAAGACCTGAAGAGCCCATTACAGATGAAGCAGATGAGAAATACCTTAAAAACACCTTCATGAAAATGATACAGGCTATCAAAGAGGATATGAGAAAATCTGCTAAAGAAATAGAAGAAAAAACAAACCAAAGTATGCAAAAATGCAAGAAATGGAGGAAAAAATAATCTAAAAAATGTAAGAAATGAAGAAAAGACAAACCAAAAAAATCCAACAAATGCAAGAAAGAGAGGAAAAGACAAAGCAAAAATGGCAAGAAACAATTCAAACAGTGCAAGGGTTGAAAGCTAAAATAGAGACAATTTAAAAAAAACAGCCTGGAGGAATGCTGGAAATGGAAAAGCTAGGCAAATGGTCTGGTACTACAGATGCAAGCATAACAAACAGAATACAAGAGATGGAGGAGAGAATCTCAGGTGTTGAAATACACTAGGGGAAATAGATTCATCGCCCAAAGAAAATCTTAAGTTCAGAAAATCCCTAACATATCTAGGAAATAAGGTATGCTGTGAAAGACCAAACCTAAGAAAAATAGGTACAGAGGAAGGTGAAGAAAACCACCTCAAAGGGGCAGAAAACATACTCAACAAAATCATAGAAGAAAACTTTCCAAAACAAAGAAAGACATGCCAATGAAGGTACAAGAAGCCTACAGAACATGAAATAGAGTGGACCACAAAAGGAAGTCCCCTTACCACATAATAGTAAGAACCCTGAACATACAGAATAAAGAAGGAATATTAAGAGCAGCAAAGGAAAAGGCCAAGTAACATACAAAGAAAAACCTATCAGAAACACACCTGAAGTATCCATGGAAACTCTAAAATCAAGAAGGTCCTGGATAGATATTCTACCAACATTAAGAGACCATGGATGCCAGCCCAGCCTGCTATACCTCATAAAGCTTTCAATCACTATAGATGGAGAAAACAAGATGTTCCATGACAAAACCAGATTTAAACGATAGATATCCACTAACCCAGACCTACAGAAAGTTCTGGAAGGAAAACTCCAACCAAAGGGAGATAGCTACAACCAGAAAATCATAGAAAACAGAAAATCCCACCTTACCAACAGCCAAAACAAAAGAGAGGTGGAAATCCACATATAATTCCACCACCATTAACCATTCCAATGCAAACAAGAATGAGCAATCAATGGTCATTAATATCCTTCAATATTAATGGTCTTAACTCACCCATAAAAAGACACAGACTCACAGAATGGATTAAAAGACAGAAGCAATCCTTCTGTTGCATAGAAGAAGCACACCTCAGCCTCAAAGACAGATATTACCTCAGAATTAAGGGTTGGGAAAAGATTTTCCAATCAAATGGACCCAAGAAACAAGCGGGTACAACCCTAATATCTAACAAATTAGATTTTAAGGTAAAATCAATCAAAAGAAATGAAGGAGGGCATTTCATACTCATCACAGGAGAAATTCTCCAAGATTAACTTTCAATTCTGAACATCTATACCCCAAATACAAAGGCATCCACATTCATAAAAGAAACATTACTAAAACTCAAATCACATATAAAACCCCACACACTTAGAGGGGGAGGCTTCAACACACCACTCTCACCACTAGACAGGACTACTAAACAGAAACTTAAGAAAGAAGCAAAGGAACTAATAGAAGTTATGACCCAATTGGGATTAACAGATATCTTTAGAACATTCCATCCAAATAAAAGAGAGTATACCTTCTCAGCACCACATGGAACCTTCTCAAAAATCGACCACATATCAAACCTCAACAGGTACAAAATCATTGGAATACCTCGATGCACTTTATTAGACCACCATGCATTAAAATTTGAATTCAACAACAACACAAACTGCAGAAACCCTACAAACTCAAAGAAATTGAATAATGCACAATTGTACCACTCCTGGGTCAAAGAAGAAATAAAAAAAGAAATTCAAGACTTCCTAGAACTCAATGAGAATGAAGACACAACATATGCAAACTTATAGGACACTTTGAAAGCAGCGCTAAAAAGAAGTTCATAGCACTAAGTGCCCTCATGAAGATACTGTAGAATAATTACACTAGAGAATTAACAGCATGACTGAAAGCTCTAGTACAAAAAGAAGCAAATTCACCCAGGAGAACTAGACACCAGGAAATAATCAAACTGAAGGCTGAAATCAATAAAGCTGAAAGTAGGAAATCAATAAAAAAAATCACTGTAACGAAGACTTGGTTCTTTGAGATACTCAACAAGATAGACAAACCTTAATCCAAACTTATGAAACGACTGAGTGTCAACATGCAAATTAACAAAATCAGAAATGAAAAGGGGGACATAACAATGGACACTGAGAAAATCTAGAGAATCATCAGTTCATACTTTGAAAATCATACTCGACACAATTTGAAAATCTAAAGGAAAGGGCAATCTTCAGGATAGAAACATTTTACCAAAATTAAATCAGGAACAGATAAGCAATTTAAATATACCTATACCTATAACCCCTAAGGAAATAGAAGCAGTCATCAAAAGTCTCCCAACCAAAAAGAGCCCAGGGCCAGATGACCTCAGGGCAGAATTCTACCAGAAATTCAAAGAACAGCTTAAACTAATTCTTCTCAAAGTATTCCACGTAATAGAAGCAGAAGGGTCTTTGCCAAACTCTATGTGGCTTCAATAACTTTGATACCCAAGCCACACAAAGACAAAACTAAGAAAGAGATCTTCAGACCAATAACCCTCATGAACATTGATGCAAAAATACTCAATAATATACTGGCAAATCGCTTTTCTGTCTGGACTGGGCCTGCGAGCAGCCAGCATGCTCCGGTCTGTCGGAGCTAAATGCTGCTTGGCGGGCCTCCGAGGCCCG